CTTTGGTGTATCGGCGGTCGAGTGTACGATTTGAACAGATTTCCAGTACCTCGGCTGAAATATTCATCTGTCAGAAATTTTATCTGTCAAATTCATCTGTCAAAAACTTCAGCCAATAGAATTACTGAAAATCGATTCAAGGTCGTTACGCCGCTACGCCGATACGCCGTTTTTAAGATAGTGTGGCTGCACCCTGACCGGCACAGTTATTAGAGAGATATCGAAAACCGAATAGCGTCATGCAGTATTTACGCGTACCTTATAATGCGCGTATCAATTTTTAACGCAACACCTGCTAATAACGTTACCGCCTGACGTAATTTGCGGATCACTTACACCAAGCGCTATTTCTAAATAACGTTTAAAAATTGCTTAAATGGGCATTATGTTTGAATTGTTTCATTACTTTAGTTTTATTAGGTATTTATTTGATATTAAGTAGCTGGGATTAGTTTTAATTAAATAAATATGGCCCAAAAATATGATTACATCTCTTTCAATATTAAAAGAACCTATAAAGAGGCTTAGGTTTACAGCAGATGACAATTTAGCCCTTCTAAGAGAATTTGTTGCTTGTTGTTGTTTTTTTTTTGGTTATACATATGAAATTTTTATACCACTTGATGGTTGCGCGTATCATAATGATTTTTGTTAACGAGTTATAAATTCACAAGAAAAATAAATCTGCATTAAAATAATCAAACTTCAACCATTAATAACTGAACGGTGAGGTTTCAAAAAAAATTGTAAGGGGCCTTTTTGTAGAGAATTCAATTTCCAACAAATATATGAGACGAGATATTTTTTCCAAATAGTAGATACCTAGATATGAACTTTTCTTTCTAATAATAAGGAAAAATAAAAAACTGAAAGGCGGAGGACCTTCCTATTAAAATATATTTAGAGAGAAATTTTTTGAGGTGTCTACTAACCTTTTTTCAGAGTATAAAAGTGAAAAAAAATAGTTGATTTTTTGATCCAATCTCTAATATAATCTAAGGTTAAAACCAAGGTTATAACAGAAACATAAAATTGGAATACATAGTTTAAGTAAACTGTAATAAAATTGAGTACCTTTGAGCTAAAGCAAGTTTGAGTCGGTCATTTTCGTACTTCAACTGCATATCTACAGGGTTGGAACTTGAACTACCCGCAACTACCTTTTATCCATTTTAATTTGATGGCTAGGGCTTTCGTTACTCTGAATAGCTGAAAGAGAATGGCTCCTGGCATGGACTATGTCATCAGAATCCTGTTTCATATTGGAAGTAGAAAGGGTGACACTCCCTAGATTGGGTAATAAATGAGTTATTTATAACCACTTTATAAAGATAAGAAATGTAAATAAAAGCATTTAGATAATATGTCGATAATATTTCTTTTTTTTAAACTCACCTGGAGGTTCTAATAATTTCTTGCATTCTCTGTTGAAACATTTGCTGCTCTTGCATTGATCGGACTGGCATTAGCACTTGTAACAGGAGTTACAGGAGTTCCTCCATTTGCTGTAACTTTGCTAATAGCTTCCATCGAAGCCTTAACTTCATTAATTTTAATAACTACAAAAAAATATGTAGTTTTAGAATTTACACAACCCAAATAATACTTTACCTTGTCTCAATAATAATACTTTTACCTTTTGCAATTCTGCCTCAGAAGAGAAGCCCAAACCGTAAACTGTGTTTGCCCTAACATCAGACCATTGTCCGAATTTCTGGGACGTTTTCGTGAAAGTCATATTAGGCGTTACAGTACTATTAATTACCGCTTTTTGACCTTCGACACTAATAATCCTGTACAGACTTCGGGAAGAATCATAGAAAAAAGATACACTAACTGCAGTACTTGAGGCGGGCATCCAGGACCTTTTCGTCTTAGGATCAATGTGAAAAACGTGCGCTTTGCACGTAAAAATCGGCTGTTCACTGAAAATATTAATAAATAATAAAAAAATAGGCTTTAGGGTAGGGTCAAGGAAAATTGGGTGTGATTTCTTAATGCAATTAAGGGTTATAGACTACGTATTTTGTCGGCAATAAGGGTTTAGGTAAGTAAAGGTTTATTATCGCTTACCCCATCGTTTCTTTAGCTGAAGACATTTGATTTACTTAGATAATTAACAACAAATTAGTATCAACAATTTATCGAGATAAACTTCAAAAACAACTGTCATGGAACTGTCACAATAATGAAGATTGACACAAAGTAGGATGATCAGAAAATATGTACTTAATTTTTTTTATATATAAAATATAATAAAATACACCTCTGAAACAATTATAGCGTTTAGAAATAATACAGTAGGGTACAAATTTTTTGACTAGATCCCATTATTGTCAAATAACTATTCAGTTTAAAATTATAAAAAAAAATATTTTGAACGCTCTTTTAGAAAACAACAGCGCCATCTATTTGACACTTTTTTGGCAGATCTCTTTTTGTGGTCATGATAGAAACACGTGTGTTCTTGGTTTTTAGAAAATTTTTGCTCTAAAAGGTGATAAATTATAACGCGTAAGTTAAAAATACATAATTTCTAAAACTTTCTGTCTTTTATGTAAGATGATGTACGTACAAAGACCGTAAAGAAGGCGTCCAAAGTCATCATCGAGAAGTACTACACCAGGTTAACCCTGGATTTCCACACCAACAAGCGAATCTGCGAGGAAATCGCAATCATTCCCACTAAACCGCTGCGTAACAAAATCGCCGGTTTCGTTACGCACTTAATGAAGAGGCTGAGGCACTCTCAGGTCAGAGGTATTTCGATCAAACTGCAGGAAGAAGAAAGGGAGAGGAGGGACAACTATGTTCCAGAAGTGTCCGCTTTGGAGCACGATATAATTGAAGTCGATCCAGAAACTAAGGAAATGTTGAAAATGCTGGAATTCCAACAATATTTCTGGTTACAATCTGACAACCACAACAAGTTAACCGCAATAGACGTGCTTAGTATGTATTAAGTAAAATATAACTCTTTTAATAACTGCCGTGTGTCTTATTTGTTTTCTTTTTTTTTTTTATTTATTATTAAAAAGTTAAAAAACCATAAAAATAGACTATATTTGATGTTTAAACAGTAGTGTAATAAAAAATAACTATTTTTATTTCATATTGTTCTCCAACTTTAAAAACATCTATCTCTGGTTTAACCTTATCATACAAATGAGGGAAACGCCCCTCAGCTTTATATTTCCTTCGAACACCTTCATAAAGAGTTAGATCAAACATTTCCTCAAACTCTTTTCTGTCCATGAATATATCGGCATACAAAAAGGAAAATCCTCCAACATCTCTAGTAAATTTCTCCGGTACCTCACTGGCACTGACTGGGTTATATTTTTCCTTCCTTTTAACATATCCTGGCACACCGTAAATACCCAGATCATTGTACATTGCGTAATTTGTGCCTTCAACTAAATATTCTTTTTTCGGAGCTCTTATTTGTCCAGAATTTTCTCCATGGTCATATACCCTACAAGGATATACTAACAAAGGATAAGCATCAAATAATATGTCAGATTGTTCAATCTGTTCCCTCTAATTTCCTTATTGGTAAAACAATATCTTGAAAAACTTGACGAGTAAAGGTAAAGGCTCTAATTCCTGGTGTCGTAGTGAATTTTAAAAACGCTGGCTTTGGTGGTAAAAGCCAGCCAAAAAATAGTCGAAACAGTGGATGATTCCCAAAAGGTATCATGGATTCGACCACCCAAAATATAGCTCTATTATGTCGCAGCAAGTACTCTCTTAGAGGTATAAGTTCAGTATGTTTTCCCTTCTTTAAGAAACTTTCTACGTACTTATAGAACCATGGTTTATACCATTTGGTCAGATGGTTCACTGGTAAATTCTCATTGTAATCTGAATAATCACCTACCATTATAACAGCTTCATTTTTTATTAAAAATAGTTGCTTCTATGTAGTTTGATACTTCATAATCTCCACCCGAATCTCCTGATAACAATCTGATCATATCACAGTAACCTTTTTGTCCCTTTACAGGAATATAAGTCATCTTAATATAGGGTTTTACTTTAACAATTTTTAAAGTAAGAGCGACCAAGAACCCTAAACTACCATGAGACCAAGGTAGACATTTATATAGATCAGGATTTTCCTGCTTGGATGCAGTGACAAGTGTTCCATCACCCAAGACTACTTCGAAGGATTCTATACTTTCCTGATATAATCCTACTTTATGTGAATGTGTTGTCATGCCTGTACCCATAGCTAAACCCCCTAATGTTGCATCAGCAATTTCTAACGTTACAGCTAAAGTATAGCCTTTTGGAATAAGGTAGTTAGTAATATCACCAACTGTTACCATTGGTTCCCACTCTTGATCAATTTTTTTTTTTTTTTCTCGTCGGATTCTAGGATATCAAATAAATTTACCTTGATTTTGTGGCATTGGTTCTTCTGATAGAAAGTGGTGGATAAGCTTAGCCAATTTGGTCTTGCTGTACATAGAAGTTTCCTGTCTGCATTAGGTGATTTATTGTAAATTAGGCATCTTGCCTGGATCTCTGCAACCCGATTGTTATGATTCTCGGGACTGCTAAAGAAAAACCTCTGAAACCTTGTGTAGAGTAAAAGGCCGATATCAAAGCAAACTAGCAGAACAGAAAAATAACACAACCAAGCCTCTGTGTACTTCCAAAAGGTTTATAACAGCTTCTTTCCAAGTCTTTGGAGCCATTATCACTGTGAGAAAGAGTAAAAATGAGAATATATCCGGAAATATAGATAGAAATCAAACTTACATTTAGCGTGCAAGGACTGTTAAAGTAAAGAAATTATAACCACTTAAGAATGTCAGGTATTATCTCAACAATCACGTAGGTGTCTGTAGATAAATGAGTACTATTAGGAGCTGGTACTGGTTTAAATATAAGTTGTGCATATCATAATAATATATTGCAATAATAAGCAATAACTACCAGCGTCAGATATAAATACAACAAAACTTCCACTATCATAAAGTTAACGTGGAATTAACACGTCAAAAAACAACTCAAATCATGATTCAATACGCTTTATTTATGAAATTATAAACAATATTTTAATTTAAGAAATAAAAATTAACACAAAAAAAATTTTTTTTTCTTTGTTTTATTTTTTATTGTTGTCTTTGTCTAATAGTTAACCATAGATTATAATTCAAATACACTACTTTTTAATTCTTTTTCAGGACACTGACCAAATGACTTGTATATGCTCTGATAAGTTCAAGCCAGCAAATAAAGAAGAAAAAATTATTTGATATCGATCTGTGGTGTCCCATGATTAGAACCTAAGTTTAAAAGAGAAGAAGAAGATTACTTCTAATCTGTGGTTACGGTTCTTTGAAGGCCTGAAATACCAAAAAAGAAGAAGAACGCAGGTGGCGCCATAGTGGAAAAAGTGAGAAAATTTTGAACTAAATTGTTTCCAAAGTTGCCAAGGTATTAGCAAAATCTTGAAGCAATTTGAAACTAACATTGCAGCAATTTAAAATAAAGATCAAACCGTTACAAAATCGTAAAAATCTAATAAACATTTAAACCACAACTTTGTTTGGTAGAAAAAATAATATATTTTCTTTCGACGTTGAATATTTATTCAACAAAATATTGACCATTCTGTTTTACATTTGTTCAATCTGACAACGTTGCTGACAGGTGCGACATTTTCCGTTGTTAAAAGGAGGTTGTTATGTGGCTCTTACAATTTTTCTGATTGTTTGATAGAAAAAGTGATTTTTCTGTGCACTATTTGAGTTTATTCTGTTCCTTAAGGCTTGTGTGATCTTCTGAAAATGTAAGTATCCATTATTTTGCCTGTTTTCTATAGATTTTTTCACTTTCAAACATTTCAATTACATCACCATTAAAGGCAAATATGTTTTTCCAATTTTTATAATTTTCTTTCAAAATCGAGTATCGGGAAATATAGATGCATTTCTTGATGTCTCTATTGTACAATAAAAACAAAAGTTACTTTGAATATTCCTTCATATTTAGAAATACTTGGTATTTTTTCGGCCATTTTTTGTATAGTGTAATATAGAGATGTTTTTTATTCGTAAAGGTTTTTGTTTAGTTGTTTGTTCGTTTAAGCAACGAAGTGTGGTATTTTCTACGTCTTTTAGAATAAGTCATGCGTTAGTATACCCAAGGGTGCCCCCATTCTCCACAGTTATATAATACTTTCAGATGAAAATGTTTTTCAGTTTTAATACGCTGTCCCCATGTTATGTTAATCAAATTTTTGCATTGTTTTGATATAATTTTTTAATTATAATTTTCCCTTTTAGGAGTGTTTTTAACAATTATTCACAACCAGCACATGAAGACCACATAAAGGAAGAGACTTTGAGTCACTCCTTATATAATCCTGATGTTTGGCTATCAATCTGGATTATTACGAGATGGATTTTACACTATCTGGTTAAAAGTAAGTTTATGTTATTAAGGAAAAACAATTTTAATAAACTCATTAAATGTTTATTAACGGATTAACTATATCTTTAAGATATATTATGTACTTACTCTTAATATAAAACAAAAAATAAAAATAAACATAATTAATGAAACGTAATATATTATTTATTTATTTTTTTTACAGATTTTCTACAACAAATCAATGGATGGATGTATACAGTTCCAGGGCAGTACATTTATCTTTTTCACAAATCTTACCAACAATGCATTAGGACTTATAAGTATATATCTAAATTTTGGGTGAATATGTTTTTACTGGTTTAATCCAAAAATCCAATGAGTCTCTGAGTTACATTTTGATGGTTTCTTATTATCAGTGAGAAGTTCCGACCAACTATTTTTAATTTGACATTTTTTGGCTTTGGGCTACTTCTTTTTTATTAGTAGATTTTCATTTCTCTACAATAGCTTGCCAGATCTGCCTCCCAGGTTTTTTCAATGTGGAAATATTCAATTTTATAAAATATCCATTAAAGAGTATTTCAGTTAAGCTTTATTTATTTGAAGAATTTTACTTCCTGTTGTTTATGATTAATTTTCATTTTTTATAATAGCTGGACTCCCACATATTCTTGATTTTAGATTTTAGTCTTTTTACAGGTATTTTTGTGTAAAATACAGTATCTACTTAGAATTTTATTTTATGCTTATGGTTAACTTTCATTTCCCTATAATAACTTAATTTCTATATTTTCTTCATTGTGGGAATAATAACATCATTCATAACCAACATGGAATATGACGTTAGCCACGCATCATTCATTAATTCTACAAAATATTTTATTGTCTGCGTTTCTATTTTCTTTGTGGTGTCATTCTTCTAATATATTTTTGGTTGTGTAATCTCTTACACAGAAGTTTAGTTTTCGTGGATTTATTTTCATGTAATTTTTTTCAAATCATATACAATCCCTTTATGGATATTTTTCTGTCAGTTTTGTCAGATCATATGCCATGAATTACTATAAATTTAAGGATTTTGTTGTTTTGGTTTCCCTGTGTTAAATACTTTTAAGCACACTTCAAAATCTGGCTAGTCCACAAGATATCAGTTCTGTGTATCTTTCCTAGCATTTTTTTCCAATGAATTTTCCTAAGTACATAATTTTTAAATTTAATTAAGTAGGAAAGGAATCCTATTGGTCTCTAAGTTACATTTTTATGGTTCATTATTATCACAGACCAAATCAGTATAATAGCTTGACTTCCATATTGTGTGCACTTGATTAAGGCTCGCCCTGTATATATTTGTTTGTGAGAATAATCTCTCCATTTATCAATTCTATTAAATATCCCTTTGAATATATTGCTATGCTTTATTTGTTTGGTAAAATTACTTGGAACTTGGACTTTAGAATAATTTTATTTAATGCTGTTTATGGTTAATTTTTATTTTTTTATAATAGATTAACTCCCATATTTTCTTCATTGTGGCACAGAATATCTAGCTACGCGTAGCTTGCGTAGTTAGATATTCTGTGATTGTGGGAATAATATGATTCTATAAAATATTCGATTGGCTTTATTGTATTTCTATATTTTGTATTATTTTTTTTTTATAGTGTCATTCTTCTGTTTTTTTTTGCTTTTCTAAAAACTGTTGTTGATTTGCTTGTGTTTAAATATAATTTAAACACAATAACACTTCTAAAAGTCTCCTAATGATTAATTTCCACGGGTTCCAATCAATTCCTGGCGCATTCGCCATATATTTAATAAATCTGACTCAATAAAAGTGACAGGATGTCACTTCTGGCTTTTTTAGCATTTTTTCCAATGATTTTCCTGTGTACTATCAACTCCAGAGCATCATAACTAGCCTCCCCTAAGAGGAGGAAACCTGGGTCACCCCTAACCCCTGATGTTCGGCCATCGATGACCTATGTAGCATGCATAGGTACCCAAGGGAGTCACCACCCTCTGGTTTACGAGCTAGGTGTTCTAACGCTAGAGGCTTCGGCCGGATACGACCTGGCACCCAAGCTACGAGACTTCTTCGTGCACGTATCCCGTGACGTCTCGACAGTAGAGGGGGTGGGATATCGGACACATTGAAGATGATGAGGGGGGTCCGCCTGTAGGGGGTCCCGGTGGATGTCTGTTCGATGGGTGACGAGGGTGACCCGAGACGAGGCTGCTTAGCTGGGATGGGAACTGACTGGCGAGGCTTAATCGTCGGACAAGGGTTAAATCTGATGAAGGTAGGCGAACTTATATGCTCTGGAGGATTTTTCTTTATGTGTTTTATGTCAAAGTTTGACTGGATATTCGTTAGAGTAGGTTAATCAATTCAGTTCTCCATTTGTTATTGACCACATACCTACTCTATTTCACCATTTTTTTATCCCATATTTTCTTTATTATTGGAATATCATTCATCAATTCTTTAGACTATTTCAATGATTGTCTTATATATTTGTATACTATTTTTTTGTCATTGCACTGATGCTTTTCTATGATACATTTTATCATTTTTATATATAGAATTATAGCATTTTAGTCATTTTCATGCCATTTTTTCTAATTCATACCCCGTTTTCATGCCATTTTTTTAATTCATCATCATTTCATCATGTATATTTCCCCTATATTTCCTTCCTCATGGGAACGTCATCGTTCATCAATTTTATAAACTCTGTCATTGTATTGGTTTTATTTGTAAATCTTACATGTATCTAATTGTATAATTTTTTGTGTCATTCTTCTGAGTTTTATAAGATCATCACAAATTTTCATGCAATTTTTTTCAATTCTACATGCATACCTCTGTTTCTTTATTTATCTCTCAAATTTTCTTTATTCTTTTTTTTTATTTTATTATTCTTTTATTTGTATGTCAAGACTTCTCTAAGGCATTTTATTTCTCTTGTCTCTATAGAGTTATAATATTGGATTAATTTTCATGACTTTTTTAATTCATCATACCCCATACAGAGTAAAACTTAATTTAATTTTTTTTAAATGTAATTTGTTATATCTCTGCTATATTGAATATGTTTCTAAATCTTCTCTCTTATTGTATTATTGTTTATTTCACTTCTTAATTTCATTTCTGTGATACCTACATAAAATTGTATAATTTAGGATTCATTTTCAAATTGATTTTTTCATTTTGTTTGTAATCCATGTTAAAATTAATTTTTTGACTGTGATATTGTACTGCTTTGGAACAAGGACAGCTGCTGTGCTTCAATTCAACCACCCTCTTCAAGATGCCATTAGATTGATTTTATTCAACATTCATTAACAGTGGATTGGGAATGAAATTCATCATTGAAGAGGAATCTAAATAATTTTGAATAAATTAAACTAAAAGGTGTTGTTTTTTAAATCGAATATGTTATTGTATTTTGCCATATTTATAATATATGTACATATGAATGATTAATTTCAAATTGAATATTTTGGTGCTCAAATTATTTTTAATTCTGTTTTTAGGCAACTAGAAATACATTGACGTGTATATAGAGTTGCCTATATAAAGAGTTTGAATTTTTTAATTCAAGTTTAACTCCTTTTTAATTGTTATAATTAAAATATTTCTTAATGACTGATACAGTTAAATTAACCGTGTATTTTTTCCTTGTATTACTATTAAAAAAAAGTCTCTATGTTACGAAGATTACTATTTATATATCTTATAATATTTTACGTACCCTATCAACTAACTGATTATTTAAAGTTATAGAATAGTTTTTTACTCAAGCTTGTTATAGTGAATAAATAATTAATTGTTTGTTTATACTTTTATTACAGAATCAAGACTTTCCAGAAGGGTAGCTTAGAAGATTAAATTACTTCCACAACACCTTGGTTTTTAATTGTACATACTTTTACATTACTATATTGTTAATAAAATGTAATATGTTAATAAATAAAAATGGTAATCAACGATAACAAAAAGAATTATAATTTATCTGTAGATATTTCTTAGTTAATAAGTACAAAATATTTTTTATAATTTGCAAAAATCTTGTAAGAATGTGTTTTAGTTTATTTCTTTCTATTAGATAAAAAATAAAATATGTAGCTATCCTAAACAATCAACACGAAGGTCCTATTCAAATATTTTTAATAAATATTTCAATATATTAAATGTACACATGTGTTTTATTTATAGCCATATTCGTTTACTATAACAATTAAAAGAAATATAGAAATTCTTCGTAATAAATATAACACGAAAAAATAAAATGGCAAACTAAAAATATAATCGCAATATAAAATATGTATATACACGTTAAGAAATATGATTCTGAAAAATGTATTTTATTTCTGTTCAAAATTAAATTTCTGATGACAAAAATCCACAAGATTTGGTTGCCCCATGCGAAATTTTTCAAGATCTCGAACAAATTTTTAGCACCGCAGAGAAACGCTGAATTTTGTCGACTCTAAGACTTTGACCTCGTTTTCGAAATTAAAACGCTAATAACTCCGTAATTAAAAGAGATATCGGGGCGCGCTTAGTCGCATTCGATAGGGAATTCAACCCTCTATCTGTACACAAAATTACAACCCCCTGCAGACACTCTTTTATTTTTCAGGCCAAAATTTTCTAAGGTTAACCCCTTTGCTCATTTTTGCTCCAAAAAATAAAGTTTGTCCTAGGGGGTTGCAAGTTTGTGTACAGATAAAGGGTTGAATTCCCTATCGAATGCCACCAAGCGCGTTCCGATATCTTAATTAGTTTTTGAGTAATTAACGTTTTTCTAAATGAGTCTAACTGTTTGAGCTCGTTGGCCAACGATTTCATATTTAATTCAGATAAGGAAAATATTTTTAAAAATGCTCATTTTTGGTGCTTGACATGCTTGTTTTGAGGGAAAAGAAATCAAATCTTTATAGAATATCGTATGGTTCTAGACTATGAAAGAGTTTATATGTTATTAAATTAATGTACTAAAATTAAAGGCAACTAGATTAATAATATTTTAATATTCATTGCATTTATTTTTAATTAATTTTGGCAACCAGTAATACATTAATATTTAATGTTAGTTGCACTGCTTAAAATTAGAGTCTATTCAAAGGATTCAAAGGAAACCACATTAAAACTTTAATCAGATTTATTAGAAAAAGAATAGTTTAAAAATACAATTGACACAATAATTAATTATACATTTATTGTTAGACATATACGGCCCAAATTGTCGTCCTGGGATATTGTTCCTTGATTCTTCTCTAGAATTTTCTTTCTGTTGTATACCGGATGTTCGTATTTCCAGTAACTTACGCATATTTCTGAAAAAAAATTAAAAATATTTATACAGGGTGATCCAGTTTTAAGAAAGAGCGCTCCATATCAGGTCCTTGTTTGATATTTTCACTCAGATGTTTTTAACAATATAAGGACAATTGTAACATACATTTTTAACTATTTTCATATTTATAATTTTTACAGATATACAGGGCGAATCAAATATATTTTAAGCTAAAGTCAAAAGCGAATAGAGAAAAATATTTCCAATAGAATAAATAGCTTTTTATTTTTTTTAGAATATTAAATGAAGATAAAATTTATTACAAAAACTACTGTGAAAAAAATACAGCATTCAATCTGAAAACTACAATTTTAAAGTAAACATATATTTAACTAACCTTTTATATTTCCAAAAACATTTTTAAAATGTATGCTACCATTATTGTCTTCATCTTTTATAATAAAAATGATAGTGAATACATCAATAGAAAACCTAAAATATGATTTAAAAAAAAACCTTTAAAATAAATAGGAAAAAATACATGCAAGGTTAATTTTTTCTGTTAAAAACTATTTTTCCTAAATATATACATATACTAAAATCTCGAAAAATATTTATACAGTAAAAGAACACAAAGGTATGTGTGTTTTCTAGCATATTGTCTATTCATTTGTGTCTTTTCGCTATTCATTTTACAGGAAATTGTAACAAATTAAAAAGCATACTGAAACAATGCAAAAAATACAATTTTACCTTATACACTGCATTTCTTCATAACCATAATAAATTTCTAACAGTGTAGAACAACAATTTAGATTTAAATTATCTTTATACCAAAGAAAAGAGCAAGTTCGGAAGGTGCAGCATAGAGTCCATGGATTTGAATGTTCAAGGGTATAATTTTATGAAGAGCTAATTGAGGAATGATTTGAAGGGCAAATAATTAGAATCAGAAACCATCTTAACGATTCCAATCTTGTTGTTCCAGCTTCTCTTTGTTGGCACACACCTTCATTGAGTACAATCGGTGAGGTTTTCTTATGAAATTCTACGCAAGCAAACATCTTCCCAAAGGAAAACATAATTTTCTTCCATTTTTCTGGGTGTATTCTCCTTTCCTATCTTCATAAGAAGCTTACCGAAGCTCGTATCACTGTATTATTACCTTTGTTATTACCATATCTGTATCTGTAATAAAAAATGTTACATCTACATACTCATTGTTTTCACAGATTACACTTAAAAATACGAATAGTAGATAAAT